ATGACAGGCTACATTTGAGAAATGATGGAGATGAGGGGAAAACACCTTATAGACCACTCAAGTATGGTTTAGGTATAGAGAGTAGGGAAAAGTTGAAATTGCTTAAGATAAGATTATTGTGGGCCCGGCATGATAGTGTAGTAGTAAGGGTCCTCGCCTTAAATGCCCCGAGATCCCATGTGGGCGCCGGTTCTAATCCCACCAGCCCCACTTCCCATCCAGCTCCCTGATTGTGGCCTGGGAAAGCAGTCGAGGACGGCCCAAAGCCTTGGGACCCTGCACCCGCGTGGGAGACCTAGAAGAAGTTCCTGGCTCCTGGCTTCGGATTGGCTGTTATGGTCACTTGGGGAGTGAACCATTGGACGGAAGGTCTTCCTCTCTGTCTCTTCTCCTCTCTGTATATCTGCCTTTCCAATAAAAATAAACAATAAAATATTTTTTTAAAAAAATTATTATGTATGAGACAGCACAAATAAATAAATAAGGAAGAAAATTTTTTGCTAGCAGTAGTTCTAAGTGAGATATTCAGAAACGTGGGCAACCAAAGAAAAAAATAATGGACACTAATTTTCTGGGTGTAAGCATACATCTTTATAGCACTTTATTTTTATTGTTTTTATTGTCTTATTACCCTCAGTGCTTATTTTATATACAGTGAACTAAGAATTCATATTTTCTGTATAAGTACCGCGCGCTAACCGATTGCGCCACTGGAGCTCCTGAATTCATATTTTCTGAAACATCCAATGTACAACAGGCCAAGCTATTGAATAGCTGATTTCAACTTGTTAAGGATTTTGGTTGGGCTGTGGAACTGGGCTCCTCTATTGATAGCTCCCGGTTGTTAGCCTGCTGCTCTTAGGCCCTGGATAGCCCCTTGGCAAATACTTACTACTTCTCAATCATCGTGACAATCCGCTAAAGTTGGTATTGTGGCACTTGCCAGATAAGGAAACTGAAACTTACTGAGGTCAGGTGACTTGCTCAGAATCATGCAGCTAGTAAGTGGTGAAACTATAATTTATAATTAAATGATCTGTTCGGGTTGATGCTCTGGTGTGTTGTGTCAGCTTGCATCCTATATTGGAGCACTGGTTTGAATCCAAGCTGTTCTGCTTCTTTGTTGAAGCAATTTTAAAAAAGATTTATTTTATTTATTTGAAAATAAATTTGAAAATATTTATTTATTTGCTTATTTATTGATTTGAAAGGTAGAGTTACAGAAGAAGAGATAGAGGGAGAGATGTGCAGAGAGGTGGCCACAACAGCCAGTGCTGGGTTGGACTGTAGCCAGGAACTAGGAACTTTGCTTGGGTCTCCCACGTGGATACAGGGGTCCCAGAAAGCATCTTCCTCTGCTTTCCCGGATGTATTGACAGGGAGCTGGGTTGGAAGCGCAGCAGCTGGGACTTGGATCAGCACTCATATGAGATGTCGGTGTCAACGGTGGTGGTTTTACCTACTATTCCTCAGTGCCGGCCCTGTGCTTTGCTTCTCATCCGGCTCCCTGCGAACGCTCTTGGCAGGGCAGTGGATGATGACCCAGATAATAAAGATCTGTCCAGCTCCACAGATGGCCACTTGGGTTGGACTTTGGACTCTTGGTTTTGGCCTGAACTGAAGAGCTCATCTGTGGAGCTGGACAGATCTTTATTATTCAGATTTATTTTATTTGTTTGAAGAATAGAGTCACAGAGACAGAGGGAGAAAAAGATCTTCCATCTACTGGTTCACTCCTTAAATGACCACAGTGGTTGGACCTGGGCCAGGCTGAAACCAAGAGCCTACGACTCTGGTTCTCCCACGTCAGTTGAAGGGGCCACGTATCTGGGTCATCACACACTGCCTTGCCAAGAGCGTTTGCAGGGAGCCGGATGAGAAGCAACACAACAGGCTGTGTTCTCTACCTGGAACAATATCCAGTGGTATAAGGTTGTGTTGACATTTAAGGATGACATGATTGAATGCGATTACCATCAGTGTGTATTAAAACAGTCATGACCAGCGGGTGATTTCCACAGAGGCAGCAGATAAATAGCTTTCACCAACAATTATTATCAGATAATAAGTAGGAAAGTTTGCCTTCATTCTTTATTGTCTCCATTGTGCACACATAGAAGCACTTGAGTTATGAAACGCCAAGGAGCAAAACAAATGTTAGCATTGCACAATGCCCCCTGGCAGACAGAGGAAGCGCCAACATGGGTATTGTGGTGTGCCTTGTCACATAAGTGTGATTATGGTTAAACTAAAAAAACAAAGACAGAGCAGCAGTCTCTACCTATTCATCTGCCATAATGCCAAGAGCCAATCACTCTCTAAACCGGATTTGCCAGTGGACTTCCAGAGTTCTGCTATAGTAGAAATGGGAATATAAAAACTGTGATTGGACTTGGTACAGTACCTTTTGGCTAAATCCTTGTCTTACATGTGCCAGGAACCTATGTGTGCACCTGCTCTAATCCCAGTTGCCCTATTTCCCACCCAGCTCTCTGCTTGTAGCCTGAGAAAGCAGTAGAGAATGGCCTAAGGGCTTGGCACCATATGCTTGCATGGGAGACCAGGAAGAAGCTCCTGGCTACTGGCTTCAGATTAGCTCAGCGCTGGCCATTGTAGCCATTTGAGGAGTTCACTAGTGGACAGAAGATTTTTCTCTGTGTATTTCCTTCTCTCTATGTATCTGCCTTTCAATAAAAAGTGATTATATTTTAGTGCTGCTCTTAAAATTGCCTTTTAAAAAATTATTTTATTTTATTTTAATTTAATTCAGTTTAATTGTATGGTATAGTTCCATAGTCAATTATCACAAAGAATTACATGACAACATATATGTGCTTTTCTAACTCTCCCACCTCTTGGTTCACTCTCCAACTGTCCACAAAGGGTAGGGTGACGCTGGGAGGGGCCGAGAGCAGGGACTGCAGTCCGCATCTTCCATATGTGAGGCAGGAGGAGCCCAACTGCTGCTGCCTCCAACGGGTACCTTGGCAGCAAGCTGTAGTTTGGGGCTGGAGTGGTATTTTAATCCAGGTATGCCATTGTGGGATGTGGACATTTTAGCTGCTAGGCTAAATGACAAACTTCTTAATGATACATATTTATCTTATATCCAGTTTTTCCTGTTACAAACAGTGAAAAAAAAAAAACAGTCCTTTTGCCATTTTAAATACATCCAATGGTGAACCCTCACATGGAGGACATGGAGGTGCTTTTTTGGTTGCTCTGCAATGCCTTGGTGGATACAGTACTGTGCAAGAGATGCTTGCATGGCGGTCCGGTCAAATGCCTCTGGCTCGGCATCCAGCCCAGTGTGCTTCCTGTTTGATGTAATACCCAGGCATTCACATCACTAAGAAATATTTAGACTCTGTAGCAGAAGGTCTGAGTGAATGCAAGGGAATGATGAATGCATTTTGGGGGAGGGGGTAGGTAGAAAAAGCAACAGGAAAGTTTCAGAAAGCAATGCTTTTTTTTTTTTTGGAAAACCTAAGACTTTTGAAGTATTTATTTATTTGAAAGGCAGACTGTCACAAAGAGAGAATCTTTTATTGCTGATTCACTCCCTAAAAACCCACAGTAGCCAGGACAGGGCTAGGCCAAAGCCAGAAGCGTGGAATTCCATCGATGTCTCCTACACGGCAGGTGGGTGCCCAAGCAGTTGGGCCATCACCTGCTACTCTCCTAGATGCATTAACAGGGAAAGGGGTCTGACATGGGGCAGCTGGGACTCGAACTGGTACTCTGATAGGGAATGCCAGTGTTGAAGGCAGCAGTTTGTGCTGCGGCGCTACAACCCGTCCGTGGGAAGGTCTAATTGTAATGGGCCAAATGACACCCCCAAATAGGCACCCGAGAGAGTCACCAAAAGGAGGCAAGGGGGTCAAATAGCCACGTGGTTCCTAGGAAGGCTGCGGGATGGGCCGATGGCCCAGCACATCTCAGGAGGGTGTCGGAAGGTAAGGGAGAGGAATTCCTTTCTTCTTCACCACCATCTGCAAGCTTTCCAGATGTTGGCATATCATAGGACCTTCTGGAAATAGAGACATTTTTAAAGCTTCTGGCTCTGTCTGGGATGGGCCTCACGGTGGTTTAACTCTTGAGAATTCCTGTTCTACTGTGATCTGACAGTTGTATCACACATCAGAGACAGCTGGTAAGTAACACTTCAAGGAGCTGTCACTCCGTCTGAGAATAGTTCCTGCGGATTCCTGAGAAGAAGGCAGATGCACTGCTCCGTCTGCTTGTATCTGCTTCTTCTTTCAGCTCGAGTATTTATTTCACTGTGTCCCCACTTTGGAGAAGGCGTGGTTTCATCATAAAGCCACGTCAGTGAAATGCTTCTAAAGCTTGTAGGGACTCTGGATTGGATTGAACTGGCAAATCAGAAAGACCGGAGTAGAAGGGTGGGTGAGACTAAGGAAGGAAAGGTTGGCCCTGTCACTCCTGACAGTCACCCGGAACACCCAACCATGGTTAATCTGGCACTCGCTACTTGCTGGTCCTAACACGACAATCCTGGCCGTCACTCATTTTCTAGGTGTCATTCAGGTCAGAGAAAGGATGAAGGACAGCAAGGCAGTTGGTACAAACAGAAGACTTTCCAGGGAAGTTACTAAAAAACGGAAGAGGCCAAGGTAGTGCTTGAGAAATAACCAGTTTTTTGGGTGTTTATGTGAGTGGAAGTGGAAGCCAACCAGGCTGTGCTCCGTGGGAAGACCAGTCAGCACACGCGAGGGGAGTAGAGGCAGAACTGCTCTCCTTCCTGCCTGCTCTGGGCCCCCACTGCAGCACCCAACTGGGGTCCAGGACCCAAAGCTTGTACATCCTTGACACAAAGGGGCTGTGTTTATTCATCTACAACATCCACAAAATCAGCTTGGAAATTTTTGTGACATGTCATTTTACAGGCATTTAAACACTGGTTTTAACTGCATTTTCTCACAAATTCACTCATAGCTTAGTCTCAAATGCAGCTATAAAGGACATTTTTTTTGCATTACCTGTCATGTCTCAGTATTGGTGTAGGCAACACGCTTGTCAGAAGCCATCCAAATTCAGCCAGCGTGTGCAACAGAGGGCCATAATCCGTTTTGATTTCACAGCCCTGCATGAATAAACACAGTCTCATAGTACTCATAGTCCAATGGCAAAGACAACCAACTCTGCAAGTAATTCCAGTCCAGGGTGACAGGTGCGGGCTGAGGGGAGTCCCCATGCTGTCATAGATATTTTTTTTGCTGGCAGCCTCCCAGGGCTTACTCCCTTGTAACCACAGAGCCCAGTGAGAAATGCTGGTAGGGTGGAGAGAGGCTTGGGCCTTCCCTTGGTTCTGTTGGGGCTCAAACTCTGATATAGGGAGGGCTGGGAATCTGTATTTTTGGAAGGAAAAAAAAAAAAAGCTTCCTAGGGGATTTGGACCCCAACAGTTTATAGGGTATACCTGCAGAAACACTGGTGTAGGGCTTCAGCAGTGAAGACTGGGGTGGTGAGGGTGTGAGAAGTGTGAATGTGAGGTCCTTTTGCTGCTTTCTGCATACTCAAGTGGAGTTGATTGTTCTCTTGAGTTTTACTTCTTTCCCACCTGCTCCCTCCCACCACCTCAATGGAATTTCTTGGATCTTGGCAAATGTGGTATGTCTCTGTAACCTCTGTAGGGCCAGAAAGGCCAAAGTGTCCCCAAAGAGGCAGTGAGGGCCTCAGCCACCACAGAGCACAGCTGTGTGCGGTGTGCACAGCATTGACAATGTCATCTCGGATGAGGAAGACACTTTGTGTCTGCACACGTGGCCTGGCCAGAGACAGACACCTTTTGGATAGTGTGGCCCCTCGAAGTCATTTCCTAAAGCTTAAAAAAAAAGTCAGTTTCACTGGTTATCTGGAGGTAAAACTGTAGTTGATTGATTTTTTTCACTTCCATTTATTTGTTCTGGTATAGTGAGCCAAGAATCCAAGTGCCAGGGATTTCTGTTTAGGGTGAGAATGTCACATTTTTGGAGAGTTGACTTCTGTTTATGTCTAGATAACTACTGTGCTATCTAATGACAAAGTTTCACATTGCATCAAGCACATGGTATCTTTTCACAAATCCACAAGAAGCTTGTGCATGTATTTGTGATGAAATTACAGCTCTTAACAGACGTGTATTTAAGGAGATTGCCTGTACCAGTGGAGAGCTTTTGGCATGTGAAACTAACTATGAACTTCAAAAGGTCAGAAGACAGCAACTCACTTCAATGACAGTCCACTGTTCCACCACAATGGCATCATTTCCTTTCCTGTTAGAACCTGGAACTCCAGAACCTTCTTCTTCATAGATAAAAAATCCTTCCAGAGACTTAGACAAGTGGTCCCCTATGAGAAAAGGATACTATGAGCAGAGTTGTAATACTATGTGTCTCTGAAGATTATCCAAATCCTCAATAGTTCTGATAAGAAGTATAAGGGAAAACTAACTACCAATTATAAAACATTTGTTGGGGCCTGGCACGGTAATCTAATGGCTTAAGTCCTTGCCTTGCATGCACTGGGATCCCATATGGGTGCCGGTTTTCATCCTGGCAGCCCCACTTCCCTTTCAGCTCTCTGTTTGTGGCCTGGGAAGCAGTCAAGAATGGCCCAATGCCTTGTGACCCTGCACCCATGTGGGAGACCCAGAAGAGGCTCCTGGCTCCTGGCTTTGGATCGGCTTAGCTCCAGCCACTGAGATAGCTTGGGGAATCAATCAGAAGACTCTTCATTGCTCTTCAATGCTCTGCCTCTCTTCCTTTAGCTGACTTTCAAATAAAAAATAAAATTAATCTTGAAAAAAACATTTGTTGGTGGGCTGGCATGGTGGCTTAGCATGCTAATCCTCTCCCTGAAGCACAGGTATCCCCAAATTGGGACCAGTTTGAGTTCTGGTTGTTATCACTCATGATCCAGCTGTTTGCTTAGAACCTGGGAAAGCAGCAGAGGCTGATCCAAGACTTTGGGCCCCTGTACACATGTGGGAAACTAAGAAGTTCCTGGCTCCTGGCTTCAGATTGGCCCAGCTCTAATTGTTGTGGCCATTTGGGGAGTGAACTAGTGGATGGAAGATCTCTCTCATATTCTTTCTCTCTTTCTCTCTGTAGCTCTGACTTTCAAGAAAAATACATATTCTAAAAAATTCTGATGTAGTTGTTGGAATTGGTGATAAGGTAGCACCTGCAACACCAGCTCCCAGTGTGGGCTCCAGCTTGAGTCCCAGCGTCTCCACTTCTAGTTCTGCTCCCTGCTAACACAGCTGTGAAAGGCAGTGGAAGATAGCTGGACTATTAGAGTGAACTGGATGAAGCTCCTGGCGTTCGCCTAGCTTAGCCTCTTGCTCAATCTCTAATCTTGCCTTTCAGATAAATAAATTGATTTTTAAAAATGTGTTTTAGCTGAATCAATAACATTGTTCCTCTTTTTTTTGAGGTTTTATTTTCCCTCTAAAACTTAAGACAGTTCTATACTTCTGGCGTTAAAAATCAAGCCATCATTATCAAAACACAAAATCAAAAACAAGACTGAATAAAGAAATACTTTGCAAAAAATTAGAAAATCCACCTAAGAGACATCTAGAAATGATTTTCACCTTGACATCAGATTATGTTTTCTGATCCATATGTTGCATGCATATTAATTACACCACTAATAGAAACATCAAAAATGTTAACCCTGGAAATCAGAGATGTGATAGTATAACTAACGGAAGAGCTTCAAAAAACATAAACATGGAACAGTTAATTGTTTCAATGATGCAGAAAAAAAAAAGCACCTCCTCACCCCAAATAAAAACATAAACAGTGACAGGAAGACCCTAAACAGAAGTCATTGTCAAAAGAATTCCTGTGGGGAAGGAAGTTTTAAGCCTGGGCCTCTTTGGCTTTTTCTTGAATAGCTGACAATAACCAGCTGGCCTAAACCAGACCCATTCTATGAAATTTCTTTTGTATTTTGCAATAGCAGACAGCTTTTCCCATGGTTATGTGCTGGTTAAACATGTTGATTTTTATGCAGGACAATGTCACATTAGATTTTCCATGGTGAAGAGTTCCCTAAATAATAGAGGCCTACTGACTTTTTGCAGGATCTTTAATGCTTAAAAGTAAAAAAAAAAAAAGATAAAAATTTTCGGCTTGAGTTTTTGGTAACAGGCTATGTATGTACTTTTAGAGAGAATGCTTGCTTTCAGCATTACTTACATTGTTCAGACTAGTTCCCAAGGATCCAGTAAAGCTCAGTTTACTAGTTTACTAGTTGGTACTGATTTTCTAGTTCTTGTGCATGTTCTGCTTCCTTTAAGTTTGTTGAGTGACTGTCACACTGAAGTGACTAATGGAATCAAGTCTATCTCTGTAAGTTAGTGCCTCACTAAGCCATATAGTAAACTGTATATGCCTCAATTTTTTTTTATAGAATGAGAGTATGAGCTTTTTTGGAAATAATTATGCACTATGGTAATTATGAAATTAATTATAAACTGCCTTTTATTTACTTTGGAATTATATAATGTGAAAACTATGGAATTTTGGACTGCTCTGTGTCTCCATTTTTGCTTTTTTTTTTTAAAAAAAGATTTATTTTTATTATTTTTTTTATTGGAAAGGTGGATATACAGAGAGGAGAGACAGAGAGGAAGATCTTCCGTCCCATGATTCACTCCCCAAGTGAGCACAACGGCCGATACCACGCCGATCCAAAGCCAGGAGCCTCTTCTTGGTCTCCCACGCGGGTACAGGGTCCCAAAGCTTTGGGCCGTCCTCGACTGCTCTCCCGGGCCACAGGCATGGAGCTGGATGGGAAGCAGGGCTGCCAGGATAGAACTGGCGCCCATATGGGATCCCGGGCGTGCAAGGCGAGGACCTTAACCACTTGCGCCACCACGCCAGGCCCTGCATTTTTGCTTTTAATGTTGAGACAGGATAGTACATTCTGATTTAAAAGAATGAAAGTGATAGACACATATGGCACAGTACTATATATGAATAAAAAAGATTCAGCACTACGCAGTGACACAGATAGACTTCAGAGATGGCATTTTGAACAAAAGAAATACATGACAAAACAGTATACTCTGTGCAGCATCTCCTCTGTGGCTATCACACATCTGTGCTGATGGATCCCGGATGAAGGCTGGCTTCAGGATGGAGGAGACTGATGGGGAAAGATTGTGAGGGATCTTCTGGGATGCAGAAAATGATTTCTACTTGGAATGTTCATGTACCTTCAGCTGTGCAAGCGAGGGGAATGGGACTCCAAAAGTCATGGAAAAGAAAATAGAAAGACAACGTGGGGGGCCAAAACTGTGATATTGGGAAGTAAGCCTCTGCCTGGAGTGCCAGCATCCCATAAAGGAGTTGATTTGTATCCTGCCTGCTCCACTTCTAATCTAGCTCTCTACTAATATTCCTGGGAAGACAGCAGAAGCTGGCCCAAGCACTGGGGCCCTGCACTCATGTGGGAGACCCGGATAAAGCTCCTGACATTTTGTCTTTTGGCTTTGGACCAGCCCAGCAAAGCTGTTGTGGATTTCTGGGGAGTGATCCAGCAAATGAAAGATCTCTTCCGCTCTCTTTGTCTGCTCTGCTCTCTCTATAACTTTCTTTTCCATGAACAATTTGAAGTCATTATTTAGAATTTCAACACACTTTACTGAATAGTAAGCTATAGTTCAACTGCGAAAGCAAAGTTCTTTTTCCTTCTAGAGTTCTGAGGGCCCATAACAAGTACCAGAGCAAGGAAATCAGCTGCTTCCACAAGAGGGAGTTCTTAGGTCTGTCCCCATCACCAGTGGTTGTTAGGGAGGCCGTTAGGGAAGGCCTCACAAGGAAGGGAGTCTCAGATGTGTTTAGTGTGTTACATCTTGTCCAGACACATGACTTAATTTTAGCTGACATTTAGCTCTTTTGGTTCCCTACGTCACTTTGGCATTGAGCTGCCCAGAGGCAGGGCCAGGGCCACCTCAGAAACAGACACAGGCCCACATGGCTAACGCCGCCTCTGTACTGTTGTCAGGTATAATCTGTCTGCCAGAGGAACCTTAGCCTGTGTGCTTCACGTGCCTCGACCACCATCTCTCCAGAGATCCTGCCAACAGCCCCTTCCAGCCTCTCCATGTTCACCCTGGCTCTCTGTAATCCAAAATGAAGCCAGAAACATGTTTTTTAAAAAGGCTAATCAGATAAGGCCCAATGCAACAGCCTTATGGATAACATGCCCTTGCATGTGCTGGGATTCCATTTGCATGCTGGTTTGTATCCTGGCTGTTCCACTTCAGAACCAGCTCCTTGCTTGTGGCCTAGGAAAGCAGTAAAGGACGGCCCAAAGCCTTAGGACCTTGTACCTGCATGGAAGATGTGCAAGAAGCTCCTGGCTCCTGGTTTCAGATTGGCGCAGCACCAGCCATTGGGGTCATTTGGGGAGTGAACCAGCAGATGGAAGATCTTTCTCTACTGTCTCTCCTTCTCTTTGTAAATCTGCCTTTCCAATAAAAATAATTAAATCTTTAAAATTGCAAATAATATCATGACTCCCTCTTTACATTTTCTTTTCTTTTAGATATAATTTATTTGAAAGGCAAAGTTGAGATTGAGAGAGAGCTTCTATCCACTGGTTCACTCCCCAAACTTCTCAGGCTGGGCCAGGCTGAAGCCAGGAGCCAAGAGCTTCTTTTGGATTCCCATGTGGTTGCAGGGACCAATGTAATTGGCTCATCCTCTGCTGCTTTCTCAGTTGCATTAATAAGAAATTGGATAGGAAACAGAGCAGCCAGGACTTGAATTGGCACCCATATGGGATGCCAGTATCAGCATTGCTGGCAGCAGCTTAACTTGCTATGCCACAGTGCTGGCCCACCTTCTTTCTATTTGCAGTGGATGAATTTGAATCAAGTTCCTGGCAGGATGGTTAAGAGCACGTGCTCCGTCTAGGTGTGCCCACTATTTTCCAGTTGTACGACCATGGAAACATTGTTTACATCTGTGTGTCTCTGTTTCCTCACGTGTAAAAACAGAACAATCACACCTGTTTCTGGGTTGCTGGGTGAAGGGGGCCTGAAGTGAGTGAATGTGAAGTGTCTGGCATGATGCTCTCACGTGGTAAGCATGAAACACACCTGGAGGCTCTTGTTGCCTTGGTGACAGCATGGGACTCGTCATGGACCAGCTGCGGCTGGCCTTTTCCTCCTTGTCCCCTACCTGGATCCAGCGACACAGATGCTTTCCTGACGTAGGCTCTGTGCACACTTAAGGGTGTTTCCTCTGTAAGTGTCTACCTCTGGCTGTCACCTGCCTTGCTCCATTCCAGCATCCTGGGGTCAGTATGATTACTACCTTCCTAGAGGAGACTTTGTGACTGCCCCTTCCAATGGGGTCTTTCTTTGTTCTCTCATCTCAGAATGCTCTTGGGTAATGGCCCACTATCTCTGTCAGTATTGCAACTGGATATATGTTCTGACATCTTTCCTACCTAGCTGCCTGCTGCTGGCTGGCTGGTTCTCTGAGAGTGGGAAACGGGACTATTTGGTCCTTATTGAGACTCAGTGCCTGGCATAGGGCCTGGTGAGTGCATAAGAGATCTCAAAAAATTCATGGGAAAATGAAATTACCATGTCCATTTTGGTGCAAATAATGTTGAAAGCCATGCATAGTTTTCTCACCCTGCATTTCTGAAGACCTCTCTCATGCATGTGAAATGAATAACTACACAAGTGAAGGTTAACTGTACCCCACTCCTTATTGTGATACTTTTCCACCAACCCCAAATGAATATTTTTATATAAAGGGGAAGACACTGAAAGATTGAAGACTAAACAGAATTCATAAGAGTTCCAAATGTTGTGGTGTTTAGGGTGGGCTACCAGAGTGTGGGAACCTCAAGAATGCACGTGTGTGTATTCCCATGTCCCAGGGGGCTTTTCAACGCAGAAAAAGCTGAGTGTGAAAGGTCATTGAGAAGGAATATCACAGATTTTATATCATGACCCTGCCAAAGTTGAACAACACAACATAATCTTTTTCTCCTTTCTGTTTGCAGAGGAAGGTGTGTCTTCACTGGTGTTTGGAGGGGGACTTGTTTAAATTTCTGAGCAATGTCTGGCTTTGAATTTGCTCTCCTCATAATGGGCTAACTTCTGACAATGTTTTCGAAGAGAACAGACAAAAGGCAGAACAAACTATGCATTGTTTCTGCACGGACTTTAGATGTCAGGCATCAAACATCCCAAAACAAAATGACCAATTCAACCCTGCTCCCCCTTGGCTTTTTCTCACAGTGACACAGACACCGGTCACAATTTCCCCTTTGCAGCTTCCCAACGGTACTCCCCGGGAAAGCCCCAAATGACACACCCCATTGCAGACCCCACAGGCTGAGGTGGCTCGTTAGGGGCTTGGCACAGCCAGCACTGTAAAACGTCTAATGAGCCGTTCCAGTGCTTGGGGGTGGGGGAGTCTCCCTGGGGTTTTCTAAATAGCTCTGAGGCTTTGAGAACAAAAGGCCCACGGAGTGCGAGGCTGGCCGTGCTGGTGCTAATTCTGTTTTCAACAGGCAAGGCCTAAAGCAGGGATGCCCGAGAAAGGCTGTGAGAAGAGTGTTTTTCCCTTTCTCCTTAAGCGGCTGGTCAAAAGCCAAAATCTGAAATAGCTCCAACTTAGATTCTGGATGATAAAGAGCCATTATTACAAATGATTACATCCTCCATTGTCACTAAATAAAAAAGGCCGGAGGGAGATGGAAGACAAAGAGAAGACAGAAATCCAGAGCAGGAGCAGCATTCCTTTCTGAGTCAGGCTATTTCCCCATACAATTTATAGAGTCAGTACAGTTTGACTCTATACCTAGCAGGGATTAGCCAGACATGGGCCTCAGGGTTGGGCTGTTATAGTACATCTTATTTGGAAATTTCCACTAGTAGATCATGCAGGCCTTTGTCTATTCCTGAGGATTGCAATCCAACAGCAAATATTATGTTATCATTTTAAATGCATACTCTCCTTGCTGTCAAGCCACAAGCACCCGGGGATGGAGGGCAGTCACTTGATGATGCCTTAGAGACCCATGTGGGGAAGAATGTTCTGAGGGTGCTACTTAAGTGGTTTTGATAGTTCTGAAAAGTTGTAGGTTTCATTGCTCCAGGGTTGAGAAAATCTTTCTAAGGCCTACTGATTGACAAAGTCCACCTTAGTGCATCCACATATCCAGACATTTGCTGCCAAAGGGTGGCCAGGAAAGTTCTCCAACTTGTTTTGCTTTCCATCCTCTGAAGAGGCAGCTGACATCCTCTGCTGGCCTAGATGAGCTGGCTGTCATTGTCCCCCATGTGCTTAGGCATGCTATATCCATTGCACAGGCATCAGCAACTGAGAGGCTCCAGTCATGATACTTGCAAGTCTAGGCTGGATCACATATCTTGTGATTTTCCCTGTGACTGCAGTTTGAGTCCAGAAGTCTAGCTGCGGCCCCCAAGAAACTGCCTGAGGTGACCCCAGACTTGACTCCTGTATGTGCCGGCTAGTCAGGGGTTGGTTTACTCTGTTACCCACATCAGCCAACACACATACTGGTGAATCCAGTTGTCTGGATCAGTTGTCAGTTCCATCCCCGGCCCTATCTTTGATGCAAACCAATGGGTGCTATGGCCTAACCCAACTCAGCCTGCCACAAACCCTTATGCATACCAGCAGGAATTACAGCCTAGTTAGTGCGACCCCCAATAACCCTCACCAGGCCTACCACCAGCTCCAGTTCCTGTGTGTAGGCATATATAGCAGTCAAGCCCAGCCTGTCCCACGTCCTATCTGGCTCGCGTACACACCCACAGGTTCTGTGGCTTAGCTCAGTCCAACACACCCCCAGACCTAGCAGAGGTTTATGATGATGTATACTGTAGCCTGGCCTGGCCTGAGCTGCTCCCAGCCTCGTCTCTTGTGCTCACCAGCGGGAGCTGTGGTATAGTTAACACAAATTTGGCATTAATCAGACCCCAAATTCCCATCAGCTATTGGTTGCTTTTCTTGCAGCAGTGTAAGACTGACTCAGGTGAAGGCAAGCTAGGCAATTACCTACAGCTGGGGTGCATGGTTATATTTTAAAATCAACGCTAAATGTATTTCCTTAAAAATAATAGCTCTTTCAGTATTTGAGAGCCAAAAACATTCTTATCAACCTTGACATAAGTTATCAAATTCTTTAGATAATATATACCATGACTTGTGACAGTTGCTGAAGGACTGTACCATTGTAATAACATAAGGGGAAACGGTCGGGAGGGAAGGGAAATGGACAGGTGGAAGGGAAATTTTCCTGAGCCTATGGAACTATATCCTCAAAAATAAAAATTAAAACACACACACACACACATACACCACGAATATATATGCCATGAGTTTACCTTTAGATGCTTCCCAGCAAACAAACGAATCAATTAAAGACAAGCCTTGCTTGTAGTAAAAGGTAGTTAATTCCAGCCAGTCAGCATCAAGTGTACTGATGACAGCTCCTTTTCTTGTTACTTTCATTGACAGGATGCCTTCCTGGTAGGTCCAGCTGGTCGAATCATCATCAAAAGCATTGAAGGCTATATACAACCTGTTATCTGAAGGCAGGTGTTCAGAAAGAGGAATAATTATAATTTTAGTGTTCAAAAATGATTAAAGTTTACCGATTAATAGTGAGATATTCAAAGAAACAAATATAAATATTAATAAAAGCATTCACCGCTTATTTAACCACATATTAGCATTATATTATATTTAAGTCAGATTAGTCTTTCAAAGACATGAGAAATGAATGGAGTGATGGCTCCTGTCTATATAGCATTTCCTAATTCCATATTCCAGAAATAACTGCTCTATTTGGTATTTATCATTTCTATGTAAGCTTTCATTCTTAGAATACACATCATATATCTGAAAAGGATATGTAATATTTTATGGTTTAAAAAGCTTTATTTGGGGGTAGGTGTCAGACTTACTGATAAAGATACCAGTTAGATGCTTGTTTGCTAAATTGAAGTTCCTGGGTCAAGTACCCAGCTCCAGCTCTTGACTTCAACTTCTTTAGGGTAATGAGATGATCCTGGGAAGCCGTGGTGATGGTTCACGTGACTGAGTCCTTGCTGCCCATGTGGGAGATGTGAAGTGAATTCCCAGCTGCTATGGGTGTGTGGGCAATTAACCAGCGGGTAGGAATCCCCTTCTTTTCTCTCCCTCTCTCACTTTCTCTCTTCCTTTCTTTCTTCCTTGATTTGCTTTTTTATTTGAAAGGCAGAATTACAGAGACCGAAAGAATAAGAGAGAAAGAGAGAGAGAGATTGATTTTATGTGCTGGTTCAGTCCTCAAACGGCTGAACAGCCAGGCTGGGCCAGGTTGAAGCCAGGAGCCAGGAGCTCCATCCTGGTTTCCCACATGGGTGGCAGGGGAGCAGGCACTTGACCTGTCCTCTGTTACCTTCCTAGATGCATTAGCAGGAAGCTGGACCAGAAACAGAGAATCTGGGAGTCAAAGTGGCACTCAAATAAGGGATGGTGGCACAGCTAGCAGTGACCAAGTAAGTAAAAAAAAAACTGGCTCCTTATTTGTTTATCTTAATTGCTTTATAGTATTCTAGTTTGTTATTCTCCTTTTGAGGGGCATACAAATTATTTCTAAAATTTTTATGTCTCCTAGAACACATATAGGAGACTAAGTATAGAATACATATTTGGACATAGAAATATTGGAAATTGGGCAAATTCTTACTCTGAAGTCTATGAAGAGAAACTTGTGCTTGTGTTTATGAAGTTTAACATAGCCTGTATTGCAAAGAAAACTTTTTGAATTCCATAGATTTTGTCAGATTCTCCAAGAGGTTTTTTGTGCACTCCTTTTAGGAATGCATTGCCCCTCCCCCCAGTTAAGAGCTACTGCCAGAGAAAATGAGGCACACTTTAAATAGCACACAATTTAAAAATATTTAGAAATTAGAATCTAAAGATTGATGACTAAATTAAGTCATATGTTGGATCCGAAGCTGAAAAGACGAGAATTGGACACTGAATGTATGAAACTCAGGGTGAGAACCAGCATGGGTTTAAAGGTAGCAGTGTCAATAAGACAGTAAGTAGCTCTCTGACCATAGCTCCAGCAACTCACTCTTGCATTCTTACACTTTATACACTTCATGGAAATCAGCATGGTTGTAAGGCAGGGAAATGATGAGGAAAGGGGAGGATGGTGATGGTACGGTAGACAGGTGACCAGTTACGAAATGCTTCTAGTTCTTTCCCAAGAGACCGAGCGTGTATGGTCAAATGCCTCTCAGGCATGCTCAGGATGTTTAGCATGCCGTGTCATTACGTCCGAAGCCCGTGGCACCCATCTGTGCTTCTCCAGTGCCAGCGCTGAGCAGAGCACCAGTTCTGGACAGGTAACTTAACTCTGTGTGCATTCTGGGCCAGGTACGGGGTTGAGACCTTTGTAGGCCTCTCTTACGCACATCTCATAGCAGTCCCTGTAAGCAGGTCCTGCTGGACACTCTCTATAAAGAAACTGAGGCACCTCACGCCAGAGCCCATGCTGGATAGTGAAGGCACATGAAACCTTGCATTTTTTCTAGTGGATTAAGGGCACTTTATAAAAGTGTGCTCTTAAAAGACTGAAAGGTTTCAGCAGTCTAAAATACATGAATAAGATACTCTGAATTTCTTGGGAAGCCTTGGTAGCTGGCAAAGAAGAACAGAACTATTGTTTAAAGTTATTTTGGATTTTAAGCACTATTGTTCCAATAATTGTTTCATCATGATGTGCCATTTTCATACTGTAATTGATTAGGAAAGAAAGCCAAATTATTTTAGAAGTGAAAGCCATCCATGATGTGAGAAATGTCCACAACTACAATTCTCACACACCATTTATAAACACAGACATCAATAAGAACAGCTTTCTTTATAGACTCCCTTCTTCACTACATATTTATGGCCTCCAGTTTACAAGGAAATGTTGGATAACTAAATGGAAACTGATGTTCCACACAAAGTTTCATTGTGTCTGTGCCATCGTGTGACTTGCCAGGAACACCTGTCTGAAAAAGTGTTTCGTCTTATTTCTAGCCATAATAATTAGATACTAATGATGCTTTACATTAGTTCACCTGAGACTTTCTAAACCTCCAAAATTGTTTTTTTCCCCCTCTTATTTCTAAACGTACTTCACAAACTTATTTTGCTAAATTTAAACCAGTAACATGAGGCTACTTCAGAAAGTGTGTTAAAAAGTGGAATGGAACGCTGATTTTGATGCCCCCCAAATGAAGGCCCATCTAGTTTTTCATAAAATGCCTTGTCTGGATCTCTGAAGACTCCTTTCTTATTTTTCCATCTCCTCTTATCTGTTACCTTCTCCTTTTCTTGATTTAGAGGAAGTGGGGCTGCCATTTTGTTCCGTTTGAACTTGTCTGCTTTCATGAAGTTCTTCAATCCCACTTTCAGATGATTGCCCACTCAATGTTCCTTCACTCCAGTTTTTCAAGTTTTCTTCGGAACCATGTCTCACACGCAGCACTGATTCAAGGTCGTTGCCATGGTCAGTTCCATTGCAGAATTTAGCTGGTGGACAATACTGTGGTATGAATCCAACAAATTTCATTCCCTTTTTAGCAGCGACATTAATCTGAGGTTTAAATAGAGAGGGAAGGTCAGAATGTAAACTCTATTTGCATTAATTATATTATTAATTAACCTCTAGGCCACCTGTGGAAATTTGTTACAAGTCAGCGAAAGCTGACTAGTAAGTAACTCAAAACCCATTAATAAACCAGCAACCCCTAAAACAGCACTGTTCCTAGGATTAAGTCACACTATCATTGTGACTTTTCAAACAGAACTTGTACACTGAGGCAATTATGAGATCAGAAGACATATTCTCTGAAAGGTTTCTATTTGGGAAGCACTAACAGATCTATAGCATGATTTTGCATACTATATGATCATAGTCTCTGGTTGAAGTAGGATTTAAGAAGTCTCCAATAATATTATCAGACACATTTTCATGAATAAGGAAGAGACATTAATTTAAATGCAAAATGCACAGCATTTGTTTTTCTAGATTTGATAAAAAGAACTGCTAATTCTTGATGAAGGCACAGGCATAAAGTACAAGCCCAGCTCATATTCCTACGAAGCCTTCTGATGCCCCTGGACCAAATGCGCGTGGTTAAGATCCCACCTTACCGGTTAAAGCACAGGAATCTGAAACAGACCGAATGCTAGTGAAACGGTGTGCAATTTTAAGCCTGGTTTTGGAGGCAGTTGTTCGGTGTGCTAGTTAAGATGCCTGCATTCCAGGCTTGAGTGCTTGGCACTCAGGGCTGTCTCTGGCCTATGACTCCAGCTTCTCGCTCACCGGAACCCTGGGAGGCAGTGGTAATGGCGGAAAGTGGCTGGCCTTTGCCCCCGCGTGGGAGTGTGAGATGCCCGCACTGCGCTCCAGGATTCTGACTTCAGCCTGCCCACCCTTGGCTGCCGGAGGTAACCAATGCTTTTGTTTCAGTTCTTTATTCCATCCTTCTTTGTTGTATCTTCCTCCCTCCTTCCTATCTTGTGTTTCCTTTCTGTCTGCCTCTCACCCTCCCTTCCTTCCCTCTTTTTAAAAGATCGACTGATTTACACAAAAGTGAGAGAGAGAAAGAAATTGAGGAAGACTCCCCAAGTTGGCCCAGCAGCCAGGGCTGAGCTAAGCTGAGGCCAGAGCTAGGATCTCCACAGGGTGGCAGGAATTCAGGCACATGGGTCATCATCCACTGTCTCCCAGGTTTCCAGAGGGAGCTGGATCAGAAGGACAGCAGCCAGGGCTCAGCTGTGGGTATATTTTTTTAAAGGTTTACTTATTTTTATTGGAAAGGCCCATTTACAGGGAGAAGGAGAGACATTCTCCTGTTTGCTTCCAGATGTATAACGGCCAGAACTGAGCTGATCCAGGAGTCAGAAGCTTCTTCCGGATCTCCCATGTGGGTGCAGGGTCCCAAGACTTTGGGCTGTCTATTGCTTTCCCAAACCACAAGCAGGGAGCTGGATGGGAAGTGGAACCAGGACACAAACTGATGTCCATGTGGTATCCCGACGCTTGAAGGAGGAGGATTAGCGAACCGGACTATCACACCGGGCACAGCTGTGCGCGTCTGTAAGTGGCTACTTAACCCACTGTACCACAGTGCCTTCCCCACGTCTTTTGTTCAACAGGCAATTCCCTCAAGGGCAAGGACTATGTAGTGCCTTGAAGTGGTAATGCTCTAAGAATACTTCTTAAACAAGTTAAAAGAAGAAACAGCAATCCTTTTTTACTTGGCTGTGATTGTGAACATTTAAATTAAGTGTTCTAAATATTACTCAGGAGGAGAAAAAATATGATGGAGTTTCCAAAACAAACATGTACTGATAGAATGATGATAGAAGAAAGGTAGCATGAAGACCTGGGGCAGGATCAAAGGGCAATGCCAAAGCAGTTGACTACGGCCCAAAGTTTTGGGACCCTGCACCCATGTGGGAGACCTGGAGGAGGTTCCTGGCTCCAGGCTTTGGATCAGCACAGCACTGGCCTTTGCGCTCACTTGGGGAGTGAATCATCGGATGGAAGATCTTCCTCTCTGTCTCTCCTCCTCTCTGTATATCTGACTTTCCAAAAAAGGGCAATGCTCAGTCATAAGGGGCAGCTATACGGAGCTCCAGCCAATGAGGTGAGAGAATCCTGAGCTGGGGAGCTGGGGAGCAGAGACGATGGCTAGAGCAGGATCTTCTACTCCCTCCAGGATCAACACAGTGATTCTGTCCCAGTGCTGGAAGCCTTACACACTCCCCTGCCCAAACTTGCCTTCCTATCAGGTGTCCTGAGAGAGCAGAGTGGGAGGTGAGGAGAATACTGCACTTTATTAATTGATTTGGGTGGAAAATGCAGAGGAATTTTTCATAGTACGAGAAAATTTTAGCTAGAAAATCCGATAAAAACAACATATTAATGACTTTTCCATCTGTTAAGCTAGAGGATTGCAAGTCATGAAATAACATTTTTATTTTCTGAGTCCTGAGAAAAATCCCTAAAATTTGATTTACAATCTGGTAGTTCAGTAACCAACTTTTTACCTGACGCAGCTGTTCAAAAATAACATTTAGCATCATGTCTTGCTCTTGTTTATACTGAGGGCAATGCTCAGACACTTCATGTGCTAGGTTTCCTGGAACTTTATTCTTCACGAAATAACCCCATTCCCCTAATAGCTGAAATAACAGCACTTTCCTGTTTGAATAGCTCTTTATCTGTATCCAGGAAGTCAAATGCAAAACAAGGACTAGGTGACTGACCTACTAAGACTAAATTAGCAACTATATTTTTGTTTTCAAAAAACTTTCTAGAGTGGATTTATTCCCAGGGGAAAAAAGCTTTTCCCTCAGAATAGTAGTAAATAACTTCTGTACTTTGCTTATAAAATTTTAGTCAGATGGCTTTCTAAAACCCATAGTGAATAGCGGCTTTGTATCTCAATGAGAACTAATCATTAAAAACTATTACTGGCTGCACACAAACCAGAGGTAATTTTACACACAGGGTTATTTAAAGCTTGGAAACAATAGAAACAAATGAATGTATTCTATAGTTTCTTGCCTGGAAAGAAATGCCTTAGATTTTTGGCTGTGTGCATTTATATAGAAAGCTAAAATCTTATAAATATGTTAATGAGACCAAAGGCAAAAACAAAATGTTGTCATCATAAAATTTCATTGATTTGTGAATGTGTTTTCTTTAGTTTTAATCAGTACACATACAGTTGTTCAATTTTCCACTCGATTTTTAGTTGTTACACTGTATACATTTTTCCATCTTGATAACTACACTGTCAAGTTTAATACTCATAAATATTCTATTATGTATTGTTGCCTCCTTCAAAGTTGCCCAATTATTGGGAATTTGATTCCTTAGTCACTGTTGATGAAACACTTTGCACAGAAACAAACTTTTTCTTCTTCAGTTATTTTATTGATGCTAGGTCACAATATTAAAAATCGGATTTATGATTTTATTACCAAGTTGGCATAGATGGACACTATTGATGTGTTACAATGCCAGTTGTAATATGGATATTAACTTTTCTAAAAGCTTTACAAGCACTGAATATAATAATCTCACTTTAATTTTCTGTTTAATACTAGCAAAGTATTAATTCTGTTTTCATTTACATTGAAATCTGCTAGTTAGGCTAAATCTATTACAAATTGTCTGCATTTTTTACAGTTTCTGCTGTGTTTACTGCCCATGGACTAAGTGTGTCCGTGTAGGACTGTACCATTTCGTGTATTTGGATCCATTTCCTTGATATTTTAGAAAGGAAGTTCCCACAGAGACATTTGTTGTAGATTTCTCTTTGATCCTTTGTTTTTATACACAAGTTATATTTGTGCACTCACATTCCTCAGAGTTGTAAAAGCTTCCCATTTTCCATCATAGCCTTTACATCTAAAACATTCTCTTTATTTCACTTGAAATATGTAAAACCTGTTTCCAACAGAACAACTCCCTAGTTTTTCATCACCATTTAGTAATTGGTAGCTGTTCCTTCAAGTTTGTTTTAGCATTAAAAAAATGAAGCTTCTTATATATGTTGAAATTTATTTCTGGTAGACTCCATTCTGTTTCATTGGCCTGTATTTATCTGCTCCACTCTGTACAATTTGGTACAAGTCCCTGAATTCTGGTAGCAAGTCACCTATCATTTTCCTTTTTTTTTTTTTAAACAGTAAAAAAGGAAATTGATACAGAAGAAATATCAAATGTTTTTTAATATCCCATGGGAAGAAATGCATGCTTGTAGTACCTTTTCTATCAGCTCTTTTGCCACATCATTTGTTTGTGTCTCGTGAGTCAGAGGACATTCCTCGATCACAAGCCTTGGGCGCCTCTGTGCACTGGCTGCTGCTGGACGCTTGGGGCTGTAATAGAGAGAACAAGTTCATGGTTGGAGATCAGCTGTCACTTCCCAGCTAAGGCAGACATAGCTTTGTTTTTCTTACATGAAAAAATACCAAAAGCTCAATAATTTCCATTAAATGTCCTGAATTTAGACAACTGGTAATTTTTAAACTAGGAGAAAAGCTTCACATTTATTATAATAAGTTCCAAGAAATGGTTTTTGATTGTTACACTTCATTGTTATCAGAAAGCAAGTAGAGAAAACCTATATAAATACAAAAGAATATTGCCTGTTTTTCTCTTTTTCTTTTTTTCTGATCTTTTTTTCCCTTGTTTATTTTAGTCTTGTCAGGATGTTGCTATGTCTATTTGAAGTAATGCTTATAGTGGAAAAAAAAACGATGCATAAGTGGTTACACTGGACAGTGCACTGTCTCCCTTAAAAACGTGATCAGATCTTTGATAAGCCTTTCCTTTGCCTGAATCTTCCTATTTTCTGTCATTCTTTCTGATTTCATACCTCATTCTCTGCTTAGCCCTATCATGATTAGAGTGATTGTTGTTGGACCATCTTTATAAAGAGAAAGCTTAGTTTTTAACTTTGGTTTTTGGGATGCTTTTGGTAAAGGTGAATATTTGTGTAAAAAAACACTTAACAGCATTGTTGTTTGGTGGGTTAAGCCACCTGTGATGCCAGCATTCCATATGGGCACCAGTTAGAATTCTGGCTGTTCTACTTCTGATACAGATTCCTGCTCATGGCCTGCAAAAAGCAGTGGAGGATGGCCTAGGTACTTGAGTCCCTTCTACTCATATGGGAGGACTGGCTTTGGCTGTTGACAGCCATCTGGGAAGTGAAACAACAGACGGAAGATCCATCTTGCTTTGTCTCTCCCTCTTTATGACTGTTTCATACATAAATAAATGAATCTTAAAGAAGAAAAAGCCCTCGGTGAAAGTAGGCTTCCGGGATCTGGTCGGCTTCTTTGGCCTGGTGATGGTGACGGCACCAGCAGCTCACTAACTCTCCTGCTGGAGTTACTGCAGGAGCTTCCACATGCCCCAAACTTGTGTTGCTGTTCACTGACATTCTCACCCGGGACCTGTTTGTCTACAAAGGACTCAAATCTACCAGAAGTTTTAAGGAAGGAGGTATAAATTTCCTTGCTTCAATCCAGATTCAAGCACTGGAAAGAAAATATGCCTTAAACCAAAATACCCAATTATTCTTTGTTCTACTTTATTTGGCTTAAAACAATGTCTTCTTAAAGGAAAGGTTTGGCCTACTGGTTAAGACACCACTTGGGATGCCCACGGCCCACACTGACATGTCTGTGCTCCCTATCCAGCTCTGGCAAACATGTACTCTGGGCAGATGACGGCTCAAGAACATGGGTCTTGCCATCCAGCCAGGAGACCTGGATTGCAGTTTCAGCTTCAAACTTGAGCCTGGCCCAGCTCTGGCACTGCAGGCATTTAGGAGTGGACCAGTACATGGGAGAGTACTTTCCATCTCTCAAATATATAAAGCAAGTACAATTTAAAAAATATTGTTCTTTCAGACAGACAAAATTGCCATTTAAAAAAATTATTTATTCATTACTTTGAGATGCAGAGTGACAGAAAAAAAAGATCATCTATCTTCTGATTTATTGCCTAAGTGCTGGTAACAGTCAGGACTGGGTCGAGCTGGTACCTGGAGCCTAGAACTCCATCCTGGGCTGGGAGTAAGAGACAGTGACTTAAGTACCAGTGTCCTCATGTTCTGCCTTCCTGGGTGCATTCCCAGGAACCTGGGTTGGGAATTGAGTAGCCAGACTGGCATTCCTACATGGAATGTGGGTGTCGCAAGGGGTAGCTTCGCTCATGTGCCAATCATCAGTCCTCAGCTCGTCGCCCTTGACCTCCTCTGAGTACAGCTGCTTTCTTGAGTACCACGCTTACCTTAACTTTAAGCGGAATAGCACCACTCTGTAGAGGTAACTTGCTGGTAGGTGTTTTCGCTGCCCCACTGGTTGTAAGACAGGATGAATAGCTCCAACAATATAGCCTTTAAGATAATAGTCATCCACTTTCGCTACTATATCCAGAACTGAATTTATCTTGATGACCCTTGGGTTTGAGGAAGCTGAAATATCAAAAGGAAAGAAAAATTGGAACATGATTGAGATTGAATTTCCTATTATTTCTGTGTATGATAATACTAACGAATAGAAAACCAGTCATCTGAGTTAATCTGAAATAAGTTGCATTAACACATATTCTCTATCTTCCAAACTCATTTCTGAAAAAAAAAAAGAAAAAAAAAAGAGCAAAACTGACCTTAACAATGGGTAGATAACTGATATTGCCAGTATGTTGTAAAGCAGAAATGCAGTATCTTCTATGCTCTTCAGTTAAGGCAGCTTTATTTATTTATTTAAAAATATTTATTTATTTTTATTGGAAAATCAGATTTTCAGAGAGAAGGAGAGACAGAGAGAAAGATCTTCTATCTGCTGATTCAATCTAAGTAGCTGCAATGGCTGGAACTGAGCATATGTGAAGCCAGAAGCCAGGAGGTTCTTCCAGGTCTCCCATGCAGGTGCATGGTCCCAAGGCTTTGGGCCATCCTCCATTGCTTTCATTGCAACAAAAAGATTACATATCAAATATCCCATAGTATGTATGAAGCACATTTTGTTTACCTATCCATCGCTTGACAGACACTAGAGTCACTTTCTTCTATCTCTTGGCTATAGCATTGTGAAGAATTCTGTTATGGACATGGGTGAGGTTTTTGCTTTTGAGGTTTTGATTATTCTAGATGTATAATTCATACGAGGTTGCTAATCTGATTTTTAAAAAGTATTTAGGGCCTGGTGGCATGGCTTAGTGGCTAAAGTCCTCACCCTGAATGCGCCAGGATCCCATATGGATGCCCGTTCTAATCCTGGCAGCTCCACTTCCCATCCAGCTCCCTGCTTGTGGCCTGGGAATGCAGTCAAGAATGGCCCAAAGTTTTGGGACCCTGCACCCACATGAGAGACCTGGAGGAGGTTCCTGGCTCCTAGCTTCGGATCGGCACAGCACTGGCCATTGCAGTCACTTGGGGAGTGAATCATTTGTTTTTTTTTTTTTTTTAAGATTTATTTTACTTTTATTGGAAAGGCGGATATACAGAGAGGAGAGAGAGAGAGGAAGATCTTCCATCCAGTGATTCACTCCCCAGGCGGCCGCAACGGCTGGAGCTGAGCCAATCCAAAGCCAGGAACCTCTTCTGGGTCTCCCACGTGGGTGCAGCGGGGGAGTGAATCACTGGACAGAAGATCTTCCTCTCTGTCTCTCCTCCTCTATGTATATCTGACTTTCCAATAAAAATAGAATAAATCTTTTTTTAAAAAAGTATTTAGAACCTCTCTCTCTCTATACATATATGTATATATGTATAATTTATACATATATACATATATAATTTATAATTTATATAATTTATAATTTTATAATTTATATAATTTATATAATTTATAATTTATATCTATTATAATTTATACATATATACATATATATATATTTTTTACATCAAGCTACATCATTCTATGCTCTCATCAATAGTATACAAAGGAGGCTGATGCGATGAATCAATTAGCTTATCTTTTCCCTTGCAGCCCCAGCATCCTATATGGGCACTGGTTTATGTTCTGGCTGCTCCACTTGCCTTCCAGTTCTCTGCTTGTGGCTTGGGAAAGCAATGAAAGAAGGCCCAAAGCCCTGGGACCCTGCACCCATGTGGGAGACCTGGAGGAGGTTCCTGGCTCCTGGCCTCAGATTGGCTCAGCTCCAGCTGCTATGGCCGCTTGGAAAATGAATCTTCTTTCCTTAAATCTGGCTTTGCAGCAAAAATGCATAAATCTAAAAACAAAAGCAAAAACAAAAACTACTCAAGCTCTTTGCCCATTTTTTAACAGTCTTAGTTGTTTCTTAATTAATCAATAACAAAGAAGTTCTTTCCATATTTAGTTTAGCAGAGGTTATTTTAAATTTTTTTAAAAAAGATTTATTTACTTTTATTTGAAAGGCAAGGGCAGAGAGAAATCTTCCATCCACTGACTCACTCTGCAAATGGCTCTAATGGCTAAAGCCAGGAGCCACAGGAGCCCAAGGACTTAGGCCATCTTCTAATGTTTTCTCATGTGCAATAACAGGGAGCTGGCTTGGAAGTGGAGTAGCCAGGGTGCAAACTGATAATCATACAGAATGAAGACACTGCAGGTGGAGGTTTAACCTACAATCCCATAGTGCCACCCCCCTCCCAAGGAGTTCTTTATATAGTTTTGATGTAAACCCCTGATCAGATAAATAATTTGCAGTTATTATCAGTTGTTTTTTTTTTTTCTTGGAGTTTTAGGTCTTTGCTTGAGTACAATGCCAAATTGCAATTCCTATTAATTTAAAAATGTATACACTTTCTCCTCAAAAATAGTGTAAGGATAACAAACATTTTACTACTTTCCAGTTGTATTTGGTTATCTGGTAAGGCAGATTGAAAACAAAAAATTTTAAATTAGTGAAAGTGTAAGAAATTAAAAAAATGTAATTTGAAAATGCTGTTTAATTGACAAAGACAAAACATAAAAGTATACGTTTTGTGGAAGATAACATAAAAACTATGAAAGGAGGTGGGTGTTTCATTTTTGTGAAAGTGTCTTATTAAACTGTAAGATTCAGTCATACCGTAAGGTCTGTGCCTTGGTTTGGAAATCCTCCTGGCATTTTAACACCTGTAGGCCAGGCCAGGTGGTGATTGTGAGGTAGTTACCATTCTGTGTGTGAAATTCATTGTCTTTCCACTTTCCATAACTGGTCAGCTCATTGCTTGAGGTTTCAACCAACAAATTGTAAAAGAAACTCTTGAGAGAAGACTGTGAGACTTGGCTGTTGTTTGAGAATTTTCCATCAGTAATCCCAGGCAGGGAGAAGAAAGTTCTGCTCTCAAACTTGGCAGGATGGATGTCAGCGGCTTGGAAAAAATCTGGCATTCTCTTAAGAAGTGCAGCATCGTCAACATTCGTGAGAAGCCTGGGAGTCCTGGGAGTCCCGAATGTGGGAAAGGGGGGCGGGGGAGGAGTAGAGCTGGGAGGCAGGATCCGAGCGCTCAGAGGTTTTTAGGACTATCTTTATTTCACTTGATGTTCTTTTAAAAATGTGTGTGTAAAAAGATTTTCTTTTTAAAAATGTTTGTCTAAAAATGTCTGCAGAGGCTTCTGTTATATCACTAAGAAAAACAGCCAATTGTGTGTGTGTGTGTATATATATTAGATTTTATTTATTTTTATTGGAAAGACATATTTTCAGAGAGAAGGAGTCACAGAGAGAAAGATCTTCCCTCCTCTGCTAACTCCTCAAAATGGCCACAATGATCAGAGCTGAAATGATCTGAAGCTAGGAGCCAGGAGTGTATCCGGTCTCCCACGTCGTGTAGGGTCCTATCTACTGCTTTCCCAGGGCATAAGCAGGGAGCTGGATGGGAAGTGGAGCATCTGGGACATGACCTGATGTCCATATGGGATCCTTGTGCTTAAAGGGGGAGGATTAGCCAATTGAACCATTGCACCAGCCCCTTTTCTTTCGTTTAGTACCAAAAGTAATGGTATGTTTTATAATCAATGGCATCTCATAGTCAATGAAAAATGGTTACCTATACATACAGCAAAGTGACTGCACATATGTTGGCTAAGAGGATGAGGATTTGAAGAGGACTTGATTTAGTGATACAGAAAATCCCAAAGATTTGAAGTTGGTGCTGTGGTTTAGCATGTTAAGCCACTACCTGTACTGTTGGCATCCCATACTGTGCCAGTTTGAATGTTAGCTGCCCTACTTCCAATCTAGTTCCTTGCTAATTGTTTGGAAAAGCAGCAGAAAATGACCCAAATACCTGGGCCCCTGCACCCATGGGGGAAACCCAGAAGAAGCTCCTGGCTTTGAACAATGCCACTATTTGGGGAGTTGTCGAACAGATGACTCTGCCTTTCTCTGTAGCTCTACTTTTCAAATCAATCTTTGTAGAAGTGTCAAAGATTTAGCAGCAGATAAAAGATTAACTGGTTTAATTCTGAGTGGCTCAAAACACAGTAAGCAAAAAAAAAAATCTGACATGATATATGTTTCTATATGTTTCTTTAGGAGTAGGGGGAACCATGGAACTCTAACTGACATGATATTAATCATAAGGTACTAGGTAATCTAGTGGGCTCATGGATCGTCTGGCAGAGGACTGCTTCCGCATGAAGGGCGCTCACTGAATTCTGTGCCCAGCAGACCACCTCTGGGATAGTCTCTGCTTAGTTTTTTCTCTGTAGTGTTCATCATTATACTACTAAAGTATACTAGAATATTCACCTAATGACTTATTTAATATCTGCCTTCCACACCTGAACGAATGCAAGGGTTTGTATGTTTTGTCCATGGCCATATCACTATACCTAGAACACTGCCTGGCACTTGGAGGTTCAGTTAACATCTATCGAATGAATGAAATGATTCGAATGGGCTAACTCAGAGGCAGCAATAAGTACATTCAAAAGAAAAGTGGTCAGGGTAGTGACAGTAAGGAGGTAATTATCCTTTCGACAAAATCAGGGTATTTGAAGGGCTGTCCCATAGAGAGGCTAGTCGGTGCTTAATCATGGTGAGTCAGTTGTGCCAAGGAATTTTCACATAAGCTGCAGGTGGTAGGGCGGAACAGGACCCTGGCATGCTCATGTGAAAACATATCTCTATGGTAGAACAAAGTGGCAAAGAAACAAAGGTGAAAGAGATTTTTGTTCTACTTTACTGGAAAGAAGACTGCCAGCAACCTCAAAAATCCAGTACAAAATAACTCCTTACTTGACAAAATAGGAATTCTCCAGTTGCTCTTTGCCAAAAGGCCAAGAAGCAATAAAATAGGAATTCTCAAATAGCCCATCCATCGCTTCTCGGCCTTTTGGCAAAGAACAAGTTTAGTATCAAACAGCCTATCCACTCTTTCCGTTAGGGGGGCAAGGAGCCAGCTGTACTCGGGGACCCTCATAACCAAAGGTCTGTTGTTGGAATAGGGTGCCAGTGACTTGCACATTTTAATCATTTGGACATATTTTGACTGTT